TCTCTAATTTTTCCCCAAATTAGCAAAATGCTTTGCATAGAATGTACAAACCACCGTATATAAACCAAAATTAATTAAAAAAAAATAGACAGATAATATAAACCGCAAAAAAAAAAAAAAACCCATTAGTTAGGTTTAGTTTGGTCCTTTTCCTCCAAGCAGTCACCTTTTTAGCTTTACATAAGAGATTCTTCCCCGTCATTCATCCACTTGCTTCGTCTTTATTTTCATTTCAAACTGCACAAGCTCAATGGAGTCATCATCAAGAAAAGATAATCAAGAGAAATGACACAGTTGTTGTGTCGGTGTTTCACAGCAGCAAAGAGAAAAATATATTCCAGCTTCTCGGCGCATCTCATTCCATGATTCTGCCTTTGAAATGTCATGTGGCAGACGAAGAGAAGAAGCAAAAAAGAAGAGCAAAAAGCTGCTCGTGACATGTGAGCAGCTTTCTGCTTCTCTCTTTAGTCTCTTTTCCTCACATTTCACAGTCATTTCAAACGAAGCATCATGGAATTAGATACCCCTGGAAGCTGGAATATCTTTTGCTCTTTGCTGCTAGGAAACACCAGCGCAATTTTCTCCTTTCTTTTGATGGAGCTTGTGCATTCTGAAATGAAAATGAGTACAAACCAAGTGGTTCACTTAAAGATTTATCTTCAAATGTTAAATAGCAGAATTGAACGACAGGCAAGCATGATCCCAGGTATTTTGATGAGTGTTTTACTTTATATCATGGTGAAATGAACCTTTGAATACCTTTATGCTTAGCTTCTTCTCAAGAGAGAGAGAGAGAGACAAAGAGAGACAGAGAGAGAAACAGACACAGAGACAAAGAGAGACAGAGAGAAAGGTGTTTAGAGATTAGAGATGTATGGATAGATAGGAGAGTGTGGGGATTTTATAGGAGAAGAAATGTATAAGAGCGTGTCTTAAAATTTTTGAAAATAATAAAATGAAAACTAAAATAAATATTATCTTGTAATTCTATAAAATGGGGTCATATTACCAATAAATAAATGGGAAACAAATCAAACAAAACCATTGGCAAGAACGTTTTGTTGTAGGCTTTTGTTTAGTCACACATGCTAGTTAAGAAAAATATCTAATCTGATTTTGTTTACTTGAAAAGACAATTCCAACTATGTTTTGTTTAGTCACACATGCCGGTTAGGAAAAATATCTAATCTGATTTGGTTGACTTGAAAAGATAATTCCAACTATGTTTTGTTTGTTTTTTAAGGTTGAATTAGCTGTATTTGCACATCCACACACATGTTGAAATTAGCTGTATTAGTCCACGTTGCTCTTTCTATCTTTTTGTTAAAGGCCACATTTCCTACTTGGATCTTCTTACTAAGACTCTAACGCCACATCATCACTTCAGACACGTTGCTTCACAAATGTAGGAGATACATTTAGGTTATTTTCCGTAAGAACTCTTCCTAGTGTCACACCAGATAGCTTGTGTGAGACTCCATGTACCAATTTCTTCATAACATCTTGACATAAATCAACAAGTATTTTGTGTCTAACACCTGTAACAAATATACTCACGATCTCTCCCTTTGTTATTGGGTTATAGAACTCATGCTCACTTTGAAATCACACTTTGATGATCTTCAACTTTTAATCAAGCATGCCTCAGAAACTCTGTGACTCTGTATCTAAGATGTTGCTACGAATCTGATCCCGTGACTCTGCTTCATCTGTCTCAGTTGATGTATCATAAGATGATCAAGCAGTTCCACAACTCAGCAGCATAAGAAATAAACTAACAAAGATGAGAAGATTTTATCATATTGCATAACTCAAATTTCTGTTGTGCTTCCCGGCATAGCTAAACTCATTAAGTTATGTATTTATTGTAGTGTCTGCAGAAAGTGTTTGCAACCTATGGTGGATAAGTGGGGAGGGTACATATAATAAAATTTGATGACTTTTTGGATCAAAATTTTCAATATTTATGTCTAACAATATTGTCAATCTTATGCGGAAGTGCAAGATTACTGTAATGTTAATATGGTTCTGTGGAACATTGATTTCTTTTGACAAGGCCACAAGGGTCCGGAGAATGAACCAATTAGCTTGTTGTAACTTAAGTTTCTAAAACATAATTATAAAATATTAGAGGAAGTGTGGAAGGAAATGCCTAAAATGCAAGCAACTAATAGGTAAATCCGTAAATATAATAAAATTTGATGAGTTTTGGATCAAAAGCTTCGAGATAAATCTAACAATGTTATTAAACTTATGCAGAAATGGAAGATTGATGTACTGTTTTTTAGTACACAATCCAGCATTTGTTTGCTAAAGAAGCCGAATCACAAAGAACTGATTTTGATAACTTGAGAGGCAAGGAAATGCCGAATCCTAATTACTCTAAGAAGCAAAAAAAAAAAAAAGAGATCTATAGGTTTCAAAGCGAGAATCTTTCGAGTCTGAAGAGGGAAGTGAGAGAAAGAGAAGACCAGCGAGTGTGATATTGGATCAAGATAGAGATGCTGCATTTGCATGCGTCGCTGTTGCAGCGGTTTCCAAGAATTGGCTTCTGCTTTTGGCGTAATGATGGCGGTGGCTAATTCTTCTTCATCAGCGGATAGAGACCCAAACGTAAACGAGAGAGTTTAGAAATGAGGGATACTTGAGGCCCAAGACTAACTTGACCATACCAAGTAGCAGCATCAAAAGGAAGATACGCTAAGAAGCAGAAACAGATGAAGATAGGTTGCAAAGAAAGAATCTATCGAGCAAAAAACTAATGACAGCGCTCTTAACAGGTTATTAAAACGGATCACTGGCCATAAACGACTAAATATGTATGACTAGTAATTATACCATTCCTAAGACGGAAATACCTAGTCTAATGATTGAGTTCTTAGCACGAATCATATAATATCAGCTTGTAGAGTGGCTCGTGATATACACTATGTTGATTCTGAGATAGCACTCGTTAAAATGGGATATCAAAGAAGTAGGTTTAAAAAACTGGAAGCTTGATTAACTCAAAGAATATCAAAGAGGTTACAAGAGATTCAGCCTCGTCAGTAGGTTTGACGAGACGGCCAATGATGAACAAGAGGAAAACAAAGAGGAAAAATAAAGAGAATGCTAAGCCTAGATTTCTTGTGAATAATTCTGGATGATCCGAGATGCTTTTCCACGAGTGGGGGGTCTTCATTATATAGTGTTGATAGGTCGGTTTCTTGGTGAATATTTTCCCTTTGGCAAGATGGAAAACTTTCTCTTTAGCGATATAGAAAACTTTCTTCTCCTCTAATGTGATTTTTCTCTTGTCTTAACTCTTAAGCCCACCAGGTTAATGTCAAATAACATTTTTATCGTCCAAGAGGTGTACTCCATGGTGTATGTGGAATGTGGACCAATAATTTCTGATTTTCACTATTTTATTACGTACCCGAACAAATTGTACTTGAATCAAAATGATAGAAAGATGTCGGTACCACTACCAGTCTACACGTACAAATAAGCATTGGAAATTGTAACAATTTTTTCTTTGACAAACAACGTTGTTGGAAAACATCTAACGAATATCGGACAACATTCTGTCATAATTTTTTTTTTTTTTTTGAAAACACGACACAAATTTCTATCGAATGTGAGCGGTCTTAAGGAATCCTGTCGCAAGATTTGTAGGTGTATTGTGGAAAAATTCCAACAAAATTATGATAGTCAGAAACTATCCATGATATAATTATGGGAGAATTTCCACATATAACCCGAAATTTGTTTTTTTCTATAACCATAACCCGAAACTTGAAAGTATTGCAAAACTAACCTGTTTGGGTAGCGAAATTACAAAGGTCACCCTCATGAAAACAAAAAAAATTTGCCGCGATTACCAAATTAACCCGGAGCGTAGGTCTACGCTTGCTGTCTACATATAGACTTTTATAGTCGGTCTACCTTGTATTTTAATTTTATATTTTAATTGGGAAAAACAAAAAAAACATTTTGATGAAACCATTTGCATACATAAATCATAAATAGTAATTTGCATCTTGGAAAATTATAATTGCATACAAATGAGTCAAATTAAACTAACATAGGCAAATTAGTTTGGAAAGCTGTAAAAACGTAAGAGGTCTACGGATGAGGTCTACGGTTTAATTAAATGAAACTTTTAATTTATAAAATAAATAGAAAATATTTAGATGAAAAATTTGTATTCATAAACAAGACAAAGACAATTAGAGTCCATATAAAATAAACATACATGTTAATAAGTGAATTTAGGTTGACAAAAACAAATTAGGTTAGAAACTTGCAAAACCGTGAGAGGTCTAGCAACGAGGTCTACAGGAAAATGAAATCTTAAAAATAATTTTTAAAATTGATAAAAAATAATTTGATAAAAAACTTGTATGCATAATTAATTCTTATACATTTGACATCTATTGAAAATAAATTATACGAAAAATGAATCAGTCTATAAATGTCATGAGTAAATGTTTCAAATTGATAAGAGTTTGGATAGATAGTTTAGGGTTTAGTTGTCCAATTCTTAGGGTTTAGATAGTTTCAATTTGAATTTTTGTTTTTGGTTGGTTTTTTTCTATATTTAATTGTTTTGTTATCCAAACCATAAATATTGTAAATGGCAAACAAAATTTGATATTTGGTTCATGTTTTTTATAAAATTTGTGGTTTAGGGTTATGTAGACCTCAGTTGTAGACCGCACAAGAAGGTAAAATTGAAATTAACCGGAATGGTTTAGAAATTAAAATAGCGGGAATTCCAAAATTTGAAAACCAATTTAGCGGGAAACAAAATTTCTAAATTCGATGGACCGTGTTCATAGACCACATTCGTAGACCACATTCGTAGACAACGTTTGTAATCATGTCTGTAGACCTCAAAAAACCATGGTAAACTAAACCAAAAAAGAAAATTTGATAACCGGAATTTTCTAATTTAACCGGAAAATTTATCCCATGTATAAAAGAAAGTTAACCCTAGTTTTTGTTAAAAATGAAAAATGTCTCCCTTTAAACAAACGGCGCTCTCCTCTCTCTCTTCTCGCCTCGAACATCCGCCGCCTCTCCTTCTCGCCATGTGCCGTCCAGTTATGCCTCCGCCTTCTAGCTGTTTCGTTCTCGCCGTTGCCGTCGTCTCGTTCTCGCCGTCGCTGCTGTTTCGTTCTCGCCGTTGCCGCGGTCGTCGTTCTAGCTGTTGTTCTTCTCCTCCATAGTTCTCGCTCCAGTCTTTAACCCTAGTAAATTCTCTTCATCATGCCAAGATCTAACGCTGACGGCTCAAGAGAAATGGTGGCCGGATTTGTGACCCTTTGGAGGGAAGATCCACTAGCGGCATCTTCCGTCAAAGCTCCTTCCTCATTCATTCAAATCCAGGTTTATGTCACGCCTTAACTGCTTTTGCCTCTCTTTGTGTTTGTTTAGTCAAATTCGTTTCACTATTGGCTTAAGACTTGAGAGTCCAAATTCGAGTAGGTTTGCTTTTAAATATGAATCTTACTCTGTCCAACTCTGGTCGGTATAACTGCTGCAGATCAGGGATATCAGACAAACCAACGGTGAAACTTAGAGCCATCACCAAGTTGTTGCTATTCGTAAAGGTCTGTTTTTGTTTTCTCATCATTCATATGTATCTTTTTCCTTGAAAGAGTCTTCTTTTTGGTTGTTTTAAGGTTTTTTGTTTGTTTCATGGCTATATATAGCTCTTGGCGATGGAATGTTTGAGAGAAATTAAGTAAGAATTCTTGTCTTACCATTTGATTATAATTGCTATTGGCAATCTTTCTATGAGTGATTAGTTTGGATTTGATTGAGTGTATGTTGATGTTGAGTGATTTTTCGACTTGATCTCTATAAATATTTACAATTTGTGACTTGATATTAGTTTTGTGTCTTTTGTTATAAGGTAGATGACTCAGTCTCTTTCTGCTGGTTACTCTTTCTGTGTGTGTAGGACATAGAAATCGTGCAAGTTCCAGCTCACCAGCTCGTCGTCCATATGATGATCGTAGACATGGCTCTGACCTTAATCATTCAGGCGGTCCGCTTGTGATCTTAATCATTCAGCAGAAGGGATGGGTGCCTGTGACTGCATCATAACAAAGGTAAACTAAACAGAACCAAAAAACTCAAAACATATAAATTGATGTATAGTAGAATGATTGTTTCTTTATTTCTGTGTTGTTGCTTCGTCTTGTGCAGGATGGTCCAGGAACAATAGCAGACGCTATGATAAGAGGGCTACCGATAATCTCGGATACATCGCTGGTCAAGTAAGTTTAACAATAAACCTCACATCTTAAACGGACCCATCTCCTCGATTGAACCTTATAGTTAGTACTCTGGTTCTGAATTATATCTGAGAGATGAGCGCTTCTGAAATTTTGATTCTTCTATTGTTTTTACTTGCTGTTTTTCTTGTAGATATCCATTTGCAGCTTTTCCGGTTCTGTAGATCTAACCCCAAGAACATCAAAAACAAACTCAAACTCGAGATCAAGGTATTGTTTTAGTATCCTTTTAGTCCTTGAGATCAGTCATTCCTTGTTTAGTGTTGGGTTATGATTTACTGAGCTACTATTATGCAGAGCTCACCATTTTCTATTACGATGTTTTGTAAAATTTGCAAGAAAACCAGCTTTTAAAATAATTATCTTTGCTATCCAAATTTCAGGTGTCGACCAAAACTAAGCATGACCAGCATAAAAGCTGCCCTTGTATTTCATGTTGAAGCTGGACATGATAACATATTTTTTTTTTGAGCATTCATGGCAGGGTAATCTAAAAAATTATTGCTTGTGGCACTTGTAATGTTAGCTTAAGACTTGAATTGTGACTTGTAATGTATTTTGAGTATTTTGACTTGTAATATGTTCTTACTGTTTGACATTCCTACGAATGACCATTTTCTTACATCGGCAGTAACAAAATCTTGTGTTCCACGTAAGCTTTGTCCAACAAATAGCCCCTCTATTTAAGTAAAACGTCCATGTTTGTTGCAAAATCCGAATGAGTTCTCATTGGTCTGAACATGTCTTGAATACTTTTTTTTAAAACATTTCTCCGAAATACATGCACAAGTATGGGAATAACCGTTGGAATCACGATCCTACCGTAAATAACTTCAATTCTATAAATTCTATGATTGCTTGGTTATAGTAAAACTGATAGTCTCTACTCTTTGAATCACCTAAACAATATTTATACAACGTTAACTCATGTTTTCTTAAGGATACATTCACAAAATTACAAAATATTTGAACAAAAGGTAACATGCATTTCCCAACTTGTCTGTCGTTCGTCACATACATAGGAGGTGAATCCGTTGGCAATTTCTCCATCATAGCAGCTGGTAATGGATATGACAACTCCAGCAGCTCGCCATTAACTTGCAACATGTAGTCGTTCACAACCATTTCAACCAGCTCTTCATGTTTACAATCATCCTGCAGGTAGAACATTCTACCTCCTCTCGTTTTATCAACCTCAAAATACCATTTTCTGTCTCTGATAGTCCACGCTCCATACACGGATGCCAAACAAACCATGATCTGCATGAAAACCAAAGGGAAAACACATTAATATATATTGATGGATGCCCTGTAGACGGAAACGTTAGACCTCCACACACGGCTGCGGTCTACAGAGTTTAACCAAGTTACCAAATTTAACCAAAAATCTAATACAACCTTCATTACATAACATTAGCATGCAAAACTCTCATAGGGACAAGTTATTAGGCTAATAGAAGTATTTATGAAAAAATATTAACAAAAACAATTTTAGTTTTCGCAGAAAATCGATTTTAAAAAACGGAAAAATGTAGACCTCCAAACTAGATCTAGACGTAAACCTACTAAAGAGGTCTAAAAAAGGTTAGTTTTGCAATTGACCAAGGGAAGACTTTTTTGAGATCTACAAATGCGGTCTACAAAAAAAGAGGTTAGTTTTGCAATTCATCCAAAAAATTTGGGTAGACCTCACGAACAAAATAGACCTCAACCTGTAGTCTAGAAAAATTATACGGTCTACGGGGAGGTCTACGAAATCTGTAGACCTCAGACAGGTTACTTTTGCAATTGTTTGAAATTTTTTTCCACCTGTAGACCACTATCGTAGACCTCCTATTATTTTGCGTTGACCAACTTTTTAAGGTAGACCTAAGACTGAGATCTAAAACCTATGTAGACCTCTGACGTAGACGTCAGCTTAAAATTTGTTGTTATAGACCACATTAAGAGGTCTAAGGTAAAAACCAGAACTTCAGTCAATTGCAAAACTAACCTCTTTGACCAATAGACCTCATCTGTAGACCTCAAAAAAAAAGCCCTCCCTTGGTCAATTGCAAAACTAACCTGTTTTCAAAATAGACCTCTGCTTGAGGTTTACGATATTTTTTTTGTTTTCAAAGGGATTATGTAGAACTCTCTACGCGGTCTAACTCCACAGATTTGTCTTAGTCAATTGCAAAACTAACCTCTGCGTTGACCTATAGACCTAACCCTGAGATCTACGATATCGACTCAGATCTGAAAAAACGAAAATGGAGTAAACCACAACCTGGCCGTCGTCTTTAGGGCCGCCGAGGGATGAAACTTTGTCTTTAAGCCTTCACAACCGTTCGGCGGTGGTGAGGAAAGCCACAAACCCGATTTTGAGAAAATCAAGAACTTGAAATATGGAAAAGTAGAATTAGAGAGTTTTTGGGATGAAAATGTGGAGAAAATGATAGTGTTAGAGTGTATGGGATGTGCAATTATGTTTGGAGTATCACAATTACTAGTATCAAGCATTAAAAGCTTGAAGTTAGTTGAAAATGGTGGTTGGGTTCATTGATGAGAGTGGCAGTTTCGTGAATAAGTGTAGAGGATGAGGTTCTGTTGGTCTTCTGGTCGACAACGTAGACCTCATTCGTAGACCACAAGAGATAAAAGTAATGGCATTTTCGTTATTATCTGGACAAAACTGGGTAAAGCCCAAATGAAAAAAACAGCAGGTTACTTTTGCCATTGACTTCAAATTGTGGGTTAGAAGTGCAAGAATCCCTATAATTATTGTCTGAAATTATCAACAATTTTTTTTTTCAAATATGTAGCCATTGTTTTCAACGAGTTTGCAACAAAACACCGGCTTGTTCCAACAATATTTGCAACATAACAAATTTTAGTGGTAGAAATGATTATAACTTTATGTTATTTATGTGTGATTATATAATTTCGGTATATTATTTGGATCCATAATGTGATTATATTTGTGTGATTTACTAAAATGATTCAGTATGAATATTCTTGAGTGGTAGAAATGATTATGGCGGTCTACCAAAACACCAACTTGTTCCAACAATATTCGCGACATAAAAAAATTTAGTTTCAAAAGATGATGAATAATACCGCGGAAATGGAGTTTTAAATGTGTGTTGCATTTAAAAATGTGTGTTGCATTTTTGGTGAGGGTTGCTTAGCATGTAAGTGTTATATTTAGCTTCCTTAACTAATGTGTCTGATTTGAAATTTTCTTTGTTGATTGCTTCAGTTTTGTCTTTGACTATAAGCAAAAAAAAAAAAAAAAAAAAACACAATTAGATTTTTTTTTTTTAATTATTCTACCACAGAAACACAATTTTAAATGTTATTTTTTTTATTAAATTGTACCGATTAATTACTTTAATTAAGAAACAACAAGCACATAACCCAAAGGAGTACTCACATATAGAACCCGCAAAAACTAGGGTAAGCAAGATGACAATATTTAAAGATATGTGAAAAAAATAAAAATAAAGAAGCTTGATTGTGCTCAGAGTGTATCCCAAGTTCCCAACAATAGTCTTAGCTTCGTGGTGGAAGCTTGATCTCCTTTGGTTATATTATTAGATATCATCTGCAAAGTAACCTCATAAAAAAGTTTTTTGGGAGGTTTGAAGTCTTTGGCTGGCTTGATCTCCCAGAACTTGAAAGCTGGTGCTCGTCTCAGAGTCTCCATACTTGACAACAAAGCAAAATGTGTCTCTTCGATGATCGGCGAGACTAAACCTTTCAGTTACCGATCATCGAAGAGACACATTTTGCTTTGTTGTCAAGTATGGAGACTCTCAGACGAGCACCAGCTTTCAAGTTCTGGGAGAACAAGCCAGCAAAAGACTTCCAACCTCCCAGGAATCTCTTTGCAGATTATGTCCAATAATATGCGCAGTGTTGGTATATTTCTCTCGTTAGAAAAGGTGTCCCCTGATAAAAGTTGGTATAGAGCTCTCGTTAGAAGACAATAGATCCGAGATAACCAAGCTAACAAAAGTCCTAGATATGAAAACATATAACCAAATCCAAGAAAACCTAATTAAGTATATGAAGACAGCTTTATTGATACAGTTTGTCACAAATGGGAAGCACAACTAAGTCCCTGTTTGGTTGTATAACAACACTTTTATGGATGTGTGCGTAGCTTCATGCAACTTATGTGTGGAAAAGGAGAGTAAATAATCATATCCAATTATGTGATTTGACAATTAGAAACATTGAAATAGATTCGCGATTTAAGATATTCACCAAACCAACAAAAAGCCATAGGTTACTGAAAACACTAATAGATTCGAGATTTTATATATTAATCAAACCCAGAAAAAAAAAACCCTAGATATTGATAACAATAATAGAATCGAGATTTACAAGATTCACTATACCAACAAAAAGTCATAGATTATTGAAAACACTAATAGATTAGAGATTTGATATATTAACCATACCAACCCCTGACACTGAAAACGGGTCAATTAAGAATCCATGAAAACACACTAATAACATAATCAATGAGGAAAAGGGAGAGGCAGATATACAGAACAAGGGAAAGAGATAGAGAACAAACCTTGACGGGTCTTTTAGGCAACTGGACACACAAAACACATTGCATGTTTTCTCCATCGTTGGATTGGGTTCGTATACTGCAACGCCGGAAACCGGATGATAGTTTCAGGATGTGAAGAGACTCAGGCCGGTGAAGGCATAGCGCCTGTGCTGCACGTGAAATATTCCTCCGTCGGTCACCGTATGTGCGTCGGCGTTGCATGGAAGCTTTGCGATTTTGACGAACTAGTGGCCGAATAAAATAGAGGATAAGAGGAGAGAGAGATATGGTGAGAGTGTTTATGAGATTTTAGGGTCCAGATATGTACGGATAGCGAGGAAAATAAGGGGAATTTATAGAAGATGAAATGTGTAGGAGCGTGTTTTAAAATATTTGAAAAAAGTTACAAGAAAATTAAAACAAATCATATTTTGTAAATTCCATAAAATGGGTCGTATTTCCCAAAAAAAAAAAAAAAGAAACAAATCAAACAAAACCAGGAAAAATATCTAATCCGATTTATGTTTATTTGAATAAGACAACTTCAACAATGATTTGTTTCTTTAATAAAAAGGTTGAATTAGCTGTATTTGGATATACACAAAAAGGTTGAATTAGCTGTATTTGTTTATACACAAAAAGGTTGAATTAGCTGTATAGCCAAAATGAGTAAAGCAATTAATACTCCTAATCTAATATTACTAATTGACTTTGTATAATATCATGCCTATTGTTTTGACTCTTGGTTACTGATTTAGTTTGTGATTAATTTCTTTGGTTTGATCACTGTTTTTCACTTGTGAAATATTACATGTTTCAGAACTTAGCGAATAGCCTATAACAATCTTTATATTATTAATTGAGAAGTACATGAAAAATTTATGACCAAAAAACCAATCTAATTATGAAGAGAAAATGTTTGGCAACAGATTTAATTAGGGTCAATTTAGTACATTGTAATGTTTGGATACAAGAATAAGAGGAAAAACTATTTGAATAGAAGAATAAATGGAAAAAATTGTTTGGATACAAAAATAATAACTTAAAACAAACCGATGGTTTAGAAAACTTCCGTTTTCCAGTTCTTAAAAATCTGCAAAAAAGAAAACTTAACATAATCTAACGATAATACCAAATCAAAAAGAAAACTTCCGTTTTCCAGTTTTGGATTTTCTGGTTTTTATAAACAAGTTCGGGTTTGGGTGAAAATCTTAGACCTAATTTTACAGAGATATAGAGATATAGAAATTGTTCGGATTTCTTTGAAAATTTCTGTTCGGGTTGGGTTCAAGTTTTTTTTTTTTCAGTTTAGGGTTTTCCGGATTTATTGGATTTCGGGTTTTCGGGTTTAGATATATAAAAGAGTTTGAATAATTTAAAATTTTTATTAGGGTATTTGGGTCGGGTTCCAGGTGAAAAAGTTTCCAAATTTTTTTTGTTCAGTTCAGGGTTTTCAGGATTTTTTTGATTTCGGTTTTTCGGGTTTAGACATATCAAAAAAGTTTGGATTTTCAGTTTTTTATTAGAGTTTTTTTGGTCGGATTCGGATTTAGGGTTTAAATTTTCAATACAAAACCACAACGTCACACCGCACAAATGTGCGGGGGTACTCTACTAGTTGTCATTATTAGGGCTCGCATCGATTGGACTGTATATACAGATGCAAACAAGGCTTAAAAAGGTATATTACATGAGATGAAAATGAAGCAAGAAATACACACAAAAATTACAAAAAGTGACATTTAAAAGAAATATTTAACGTAGTCAGATTCGAGTTATCATATTTAACGTAGTCTAAGTCAGATTAAAGTAGAAAGATGAAAACAGAAACAAAAGAAAATAAGAGAGTAGGAAAAGATGAGAAGAGTTCGCGTCTGAAGAGAGAAGGGAAGGAAGAGAGCAGCAAGTGTTAGATTGGATCAAGATACAGATGCCTCATTTGCGCTGCGGGCGGTTGCATTGTACTTGTTAAAATTCGATGCAAACCTAAACTATCGTTAAGTAACTAATTTCAAACCTAGGAAAAAATCTCAAAAACCTTCTCGGATAAATTCCATTCTTATTTATTAGGTTATATAACCATGGATATAAATTGAATTAAAGTTCTAAAACTGACTCTCAATGCCTAAGCAAAGAAGATATATATTGAACGTGAACAAGATGGTGACACGAACCTTTTGATACCGGAAAAGAAGATTACCATCTCTTAGGCAAGGATAGATGACGTGATGATAACGCTGATCATTTATCATTATCATTCTTTGTTAGCATCATTCATGATCATCATCATTTCTTAGAACAGAATGTTACAATTTTATGGGACGAAGAAGGAGAAACGTCTGGCTGATGCTTATCCTGAATCTTGACTGAAGCCCGAGACTAATAACTGTAGTTCAAAAATAGCTATTTGGATACAAGAATAAATGGAAAAAACTATTTGGATACAAGAATAATAATAACGAGTGTTGAAGAAGCTAAGATCTATGGAACCAAGTATTTCTTAGGGAATCTGGAGAGATTGATGGATGTTAAGGCTAAGTATGATCCTGAGAATTTCTTCAGGTACGAGCAGAGTATACCTCCTGTTTTTGCAGTGTAATTCTTGTAGGTTTTTTTTCGTTTACTATTTTATTTTATAATTAAAAAAAAAAGCAAATTTTCATAAAATATAAAGTATAACAAACAGAAATGGTGAGAAAATGATAGGGATCGGACTTCGGAACCATACTGTGCACTAAATCATATACTGTAAGTCTGTAACTGAAAAAACATAGTTTCTGTGCACAGAACTCAGTTTTTGTTCTGTGGATTAGAGTTAAGAGAACGGATAATTCAAGTACTTTCTTGTTATAATTTTAAACTATTGTCCGGCACCTTGTGCGGGTACAATATTTTTTAAATACATTAATTAATTAAAGATTTTAATAATTATAGTAGTATAACTTTTTATTGTATTCATCATTTTTGTTTTCGCAAACTTCTTATTTTTGTAATATTGATGTGTCTTATTTTTATCTTCTCTTTCTTGTTCTTCTAATTTTCTTCATTTGTTTTGAAAATTTCTTCACATTCCATTTTTTCTTCTTTGCTTTCTTTTTCCTAATGTTCGAGTTTTCTTCTTCTTCTCCAATTTTTTCATCTTTTTTTTCACTGTCTTCTTTTCTTTTACTTGTGTTTTTATTCTCTCTTGTCTATGTCTTGCATTTCACCTATCAATTCATTCGATAATTTAGATTTTTAAATATTTGTGAAATAGATTCTATCTTTATATAATCAAGATCTTTTAAAAAATTATTAGTTTTGTTATCTTTCGATTTTGGGTTTTCTTTTATTGTTTTAGTTTTTTTTCTATTTGTAAATGTAATTTTGAAAGTAGATATAAATTTATAATAAATGATTTTTAACTATGAAATTCTTCCATAATAATTCAAGTTTTTAAAAATGATCAAAAACTAAACCCTACACCCATCAATATAAACCCTACACCCTAAACCCGTGTACCACCCCCTAAACAACCCAAACCACACAATGTAACACCACCCCCATATAATAACTTTCATGTAACAACATAACACCACCACTCCCCCCCCCTAAACAACCCAAACCCCACAGTGTAAAACCACCTGTCCCCCTAAACAACTATACATCCTAACCCATTTGGTCCCCTCCCCCAATCCGCACACCCGAACCCACATTTTACAAATTGGTTCTAGATTTACTTTTATTTTTATTTTATTTTATTTTTAACATAAGTTTTTTTAATCGGTAATTTAGTGTATTCAAATTTTTTAAACTGCATCAAAAACTAAACCTTATCCCCATCAATATAAACTGTACATCGTAAACCCCAACCCTATTTTATCTTTTTATTTCAATTTTTCTTTTACTTCTTCATATTTATTTCTTCATTTTCTACTATTTTCCTTATTCTTATCGAACTTTCTATTCTCTTTTCATTTTCTCTTCATCGTCATCTTATTATTTCCTGGTTTTTATCAGTTTTTTCCTTTTCTTTACAATTTGTTTTTTCAATTGTCTTTGTGTACTTATTCTTCATTTTGTTTATCTTTTGATTTTTTCAACTTATTTATTGTTTACATATTCTTCAATTGTTATTATTATTTTTTGTTTCTTTCGTTTTTTCCGTCTTTGTCTTACAACTTTTGTCTTTTCCTTATTTTATTCAGGTTTTTCTTCTTATTTCATATTGTACTTTTTATCATTTTGTGTTATTTTATATGGTTAAAGTTTACATTGGAAGAATATTAAGAGGAAACCTTCTCTAGTGTCTCAGCTCAGAAATGCTGGGAAATGGTGTTGAAGAGAGTTATCGAAGAGATCTCAAAATGCAGCAGCCAAGAGAAAATTTTTCATACTTTAGATAGCATTAATGGGCTAAAGATGTTTGGTTCCTTCAACCAAACATCTTTAGCCCATCAATGTTTTCCAAAGAATGAACATTTTTCTCTTGGCTGCTGCATTTTGAAATCTCTTAGTTAACTCTCTTCAACACCATTTCCCAGCATTTTTTAGCTGAGACACTAGAGAATGTCTCCTCATGAGATTCTTCCAATGTAACCTTCAGCTATATAATAAAAAGAGACAAAGTGACAGAGAGAAAGATTAGAGATGTATGGATAGAAAGGAGAGTGTGGGATTTTATAGGAGAGGAAATGTGTATGAGCGTGTTTTAAAAATTTTGGAAAAAAAAAATTGGAAACTAAAACCAATATTATCTTCCATATAATGGGGTCATATTACCAAAAAACTAAATGGGAAACAAATCAAACAAAACTATTGGGAAGAAATTTTTGTTGTAGCCTTTTGTTTATTAGTCACACATACCAGTTAGGAAAAATATATAAACAGATTTTGTTTACTTGAAAAGACAGCTCCAACTGTATTCACACACACTCAAAACACAAAAGGGTTGAATTAGCTGTATTACAGCCCACGTTGCTCTTTCTTTTTTTGTTAAAGGCCACGATGCTCTTTCCTGCTTGGATCTTCTCACTAAGATCATAACGCCACATCATCACTTCAAACACGTGACATCAGAAATGTAGGAGATACATGTAGGTTACTCTCTTTATGAACTCTTCCTTGTGTCACACCCGACAGCTTATGTGGCACTCCTTCTACCGACTTCTTCATAACATCTTGACATAAATTAACATCTTTATCTTGTGTCAAAAATCTGTAACAAATATACTTACAATCTTTCCCTTTGTTACTGGGTTATAGACACTGATGAATCTGATACAGAGTTTTTAATCATGTCCCATAAACTCTGTGACTCTGTATCCAAGATATTGCTACCAAACTATCCCCGTCACTCTGCTTCATGTGTCTCAGGTGATGTAATGATCAAGCAGTTCCACAACTCAACAGCATAAGAAATAAACTAACAAAGATGAGAAGATTTTGTTAGATTGCATAACTCAGATTTCTGTTGTGCTTCCCGGCATAGTTAAACTCATTAGTTATGGATTTTTTTGTAGCTTCTGCAGAAAGTGTGGAAGGAAATGCCCAAAATGCAAGCAACTAATAGGTAAATCCGTAAATATAATAAAATTTGGTTAGTTTTGGATCAAAAGCTTCGAGATATATCTAACAATGTTATTAAACTTATGCAGAAATGGAAGATTATTGTACTGTGAATACGGTTCTTTAGTACACAATCTAGCATTTGTTTGCTAAAGAAGTCGAATCACAAAGAACTGCTTCTGATAACTTGAGAGGCAAGGAAATGCCGAGTCAAATAAACTATAAGAAGCAAGAAAAAAAGAGAGATCAATATAGGTACGAAAGAGAGGATCTTTCGACTCTGAAGAGAGAGTGAGAGAAGGAGGAGAGCAGCGAGTGTGAGATTGGATCAAGATAGAGAATTAGAGATCCGTTCTTGTTGCAGAGGCAAGAATTCGCTTATGTTTTTGGCGTAACGATGGCGGTGGCTACTTCTTCTTTATCAGCGGATGGAGAGACGAGAGAGAGTTTAGAAATCAGGGATACTTGAGGCCCAAGCCTAATACTTGACCATTTTTGAAATTAATTGTTTTAATTAGATCTATTGATTCTACGCATTCGAAAATGCAAGAACGAGTCCAAAACATACCTCATATATTCCCCCAAAAGATTTTAACAAAATTTTAAAGATTTTGAGCATTTTTTTTTAAATCTCTTGGTTTTGTTTAATTCTTTTTTTTTTTTTTTTTTTTTAAATCTCTCTTGCTTTTGTTTAATTCCTTGATTTATTTATCACCATTGCAAAACTTTTTTAACAAACTATCCCACTATCTTATTCGATCCACAAAGTATTAATTCTCAAAACTCTCATTTTCTCCATAAAAACACTTGTATTACATACTTTTTTACGATGTTTGTTGCATGAAGGACAAGTTCTAGGCTGTTTCTAGTTTAAATAATTTGGATTTGTAGTTTGTATCACACAAATGCATGAATTTAAACCGAAAAGTTATGGGACCTGCGTACAAGATGATAAACTGGAAATAGGTCCTTTTCTCTACTGCAAATTATCAGTGATGAAGATTGTAATATAAAGGATTCGAAATCCAGAGGACCAGCGTTACACTGTGAAACTACGAGATTTAAAACAGAGCTAAGACAAAGATGATTGGTTTTAGTAGCAGGTAACGAATGTAAACGATGATGTAATTCAATAAACAGGGACTAGACCAAGGCAATTCGCAGAGATTCAGGTTAACGACCAAACAACTATTCAGGGCACAGATAAGAACAGGTCTCGAACTCAAACAAAAAATAAGTCAATTCACTTTCGCGATAATGACAACTTTCTAACAACCTAGATGTCTAAACTGTCGTTTGAATCTAGCAGTTGATGACAAGCAAGGTTCGATAAGTTCACGAATCGCCTTAGCATCAACTTTCGCAGGCTAAGGACGATTCGCTCACCACAGTTCGTTCTAACAACCTATTGCACTTTTGATGAACAGGTAATCTGAGATCAGAGATCGAATGATCAGATCGATCTAAGCAGTAAGTGCAACAATGGCGAAGACAGTATTAAAGCCCTATCTGTATTCAGTCAAGTTAACACATGAATCCCTTTGAAAAGCCTAGATCTAGCAGGGTGACTACTCAGACATAATGAAACAGCAAACAATGACTGAAACTGAATTCATTGAATCAAATATGAAAATAGAAAAACAAGGGTTCAGAAATCTTCTCCAAACTGTGAAAACAAGGTTTGATCTCTTCTCCCTCGGAAACAATGAACAACAGTGTAAACTCTGAAAAACGGCGTAGCCTAAACAATGGCTAAAGATAGGTCTAAATAGCTCCGGGGTCGACTTCGGTTCAATCCGGTTCGCTGTGGTTCGATCGAGTCGGTTTGCACCAAGTAGATCGAACGGCTGTGATATCATCTGACCGGGATTGATCGAACGGCTGAACAGAACGGGATCGATCGAGCTGGCTCTGCTCTGCATGGGATCGATCGAGTACTTGTTGATGGGTCGATCGAGCTCCTCCTGTACGCATTCGATCGACAATGGCATCGATCGACCTGTTCGGGTGAATGGGTCGATCGAGCTGGTGGTCGACGGTTCGATCGACCTCTGTACTCGATCGAGCTCCTTTGGCTCCGTTTTGCCTGCTTTCTCCTCTTGTTGGTCCATGTGACCAAAGCTCTCCCTGGAACGTCTTTAGACCTGAAAAGACTCGATAAAGACTAGAAAGACTCGATAAAACTCGTGAAAACAAGTGTTAGAATGCGTCAAATACGCAAGATATCACAAGACTGCGTTGAGAAGGCGGTGGAGGCTTTTGTCCTCTCTGGGACAACATTATGAGTTAATGTAAGTGGTTTAACCCCCTTTAAACATTTGTGGTTCTTTTTTGTAACATCACATTTGTGGTCTTTTATATACCTTCTAGAAGTGCTTATTTTTAAGGTTTATGGTCTGGTTTCTGAGATGTATTCAAGCTTTGTGTTCTAATAGTATGTCTTAGTTTTGGGAGATGTATCCATAGTTACGTAACTAATTTGGTGGATACTTAAATCATAATTAAGTAACTAATTTGATACCCTTAAGATCAGAAACCTCGGAAAGTCCTATACCTTTTTCTATGTATACTAGTGACATTTGATTCTAGACGCCAAAAAAAAGAGAGACATACTGATGAACGTGAACAAGATAGTGAGTGATCCGGTTCTTTGGAACACAATCCATCATTTGGTTGCTAAAGAAGTCGAATCACAAAGAGCTGCTTTAACTTGAGAGGCAAGGAAACGCCGAGTCCTATAATCGCTAAGAAGTAGAGATAGAGATCAAGATATATTTGAAAGAGAGGATCTTACTAGTGAAATTACAGGAACCTGCACCAACACTATTAAGAACGCTCGAACACAAACTTTTCTTCAACGAGATCTCATTTACTTTAAACAACGATTCCTTACAATCTTGTTTAATCAGACTTATGCAACATCACAACTGTGATTTGCAATTGAACAAAATCCTAATCTATCCGATCTCACAAACGCAGAATGCGTGTCTCTTTGTTCACTCACCGAAACCCTAGTTTCTTGAGGATACAAGCTGTTCTTTTTTTTCTTAAGAACAAAGCCTTTTTTCTATTACAAAAGAGATAAAGACTTCGATACGAAATCTCTATTTGTAGCCGAGTCTTCAATCTCTGAAACTCGTTATTGACCGTTGGATTGTCACGTGCCTTCTTTACTTTAGTTTTTAGACACTGCCAACATGAACTGATCCTGCAGTACTATCTTGACTTTAGCCACTCATGTAGCTAATTGCACTTGCAGTACCGTCAAGTCACTTCTAAGCTGCTCCGCAGCCAGTCACATCCCAGTGGCCGGCCGCATGTCTTCAACACCTCCACTAGAAGGGACACTTTCAAGATGCTCCGCAGCCAATCACATCCCAGTGGTCGCATGTCTTCAACACCTCCACTAGAAGTGACATCCTTGACTTTAGCCACTCCTGTAGCTAACTGCACCTGAAGTACCGTCAAGACACGTTCCAACACTCCACGAGCCTGTCACGTCCAAGCTGCTCCGCAGCCAGTCACACCCCAGTGGCCGCATGTCTTCAACACCTCCACTAGAACTGACACGCTTTTGACTCCACTCACATTTCTTCTTTTACTTTGGTTTGTCGAAACGCAGTCCACGTCATCAGCGTCTTCTGCACACGCGCCTGGCTTTCCCGCCATCAATGTGCATCGTCAAGACTTCTTGTCCATTGTTGACTCTACTCACGTTTCTTCTTTTTCTTTCGTTTGTCAGAAACGTAGTCCACGTCATCAGCATCTTCTGCACACGCGCCTGGCTTTCCCGCCATCACTCTGCATCTTCAAGACTTCTTGTCCATTGTTGTTTCTACTCATGTTTCTTCTTTTTCTTTTATTTGTCAGAAACATAGTCCATGTCATCAGCATCTTCTACACATGTGCCTGGCTTTCCCGCCATCGCTGTGCATCCTCAAGACTTCTTGTAAGTTGTAACTTCAAGAATCCTTGTATGATTGCATCTTCAACTAGTCTGAAGAGGTTAGTGAGAGGAGGAGAGAAGCGCTTTGTGAGATTGGCTCAAGATAGAGATGCCGCATTTGCGTTGCGGTTGCATTGTACTTGTTAAAATTCGATGCAAACCTAAACAATCGTAAAGTAACTAATTTGAAACCTAGGAAAAAATCTCAAAAACCTTCTCGAAGAAATTACATTATTATTTATTAGGTTATGTAAGTATGTAACCATGGAAATAAATTGAAATAACGTCTAAAACTGACTCTAAATGCCAAAGCAAAGAAGATATATATTGAACGTGGACAGGATGGTGACACGAACCGTATAACAGAGGAAGAGAAAATTACCATAATAATTGTATCCCACATCGGTAATTATCAAAGACATAGTCTAATATATAAAGGTCTAAATCATTAGATTGGATTGTCAATTGGTGGATGTTAGGAGCTACCATGAGCAGAAATCGTAGAGTTGATATTGGTTCCTATGAAATCGAGAGATTGAGGATCCACCCTATCGGTTTGCCATTGTGTGGCCTACTCTTACCAATTGACCCTTTTTGAAGTTAATTGTAATGAGTCCAAAACTAACCTCATTCCCTAAGAGATTTTAACAAAAAAAGTTATTTACCATTTTCTAGGTGTTTTTAGAGCAATTTTTCAAAACTCAGTTCTCACTTCTCAGCAAATGAATGTAATACGAACCAATTTTCGAATGTTCCACGGTATTTCTGATTTTCACTAATTTCAATACCTAAACAAAAGGTTACTATATCAAAATAAAAGAAAGATCGGTAGTTGCAAGAATTTTGTGAACAGTAAAAATTGGTTTCCTAGAACATTGGTTTGTTTTGACAAGGACACGAGGGAATATGAATCATTTGATTTCTCGTAGCTTAAGTTTCCATATCAAGATCGTCCATCAAATAGTGCATCAGCTTTATCTTTGACCTAACTTTAGGGATAAGTATACTATTTTGTGCTTGCATGATTGACAAAGGTGGAAATGTTACGTGTGGTCTTCATGTGTCAGAAGTAACTTTTTCACTGGTTCCACATGACAATGGTGTGAAGAAGCCACTGAAAGCACAAATGATATGATGTCTATTGTAGAGTGGTTCCTGATGAGATTGAGGCTTTTTTATTGTCTTAAGCCCACACGAAGATCAATCATTGAATAGCTTTTTACAAGATATATATAACTTTTGTTCTGAAGCTTAAACAAGGCTCTACTACCAATAAGGCAATATACAACAGGTCCACAGCAACCAGCATTATTGAAGGGACGGACTACGGTATAAATAGCATACCAAGTAGCTGCATTAAAAGGAAGATACGCTAAGAAACAGAAACAGATCAAGATATGTTGCAAAGACAGAATCTATCGAGCCTGAAGAGAGAATTAAGAGAGGGAAGAGAGCAGAGAACATGAGATTGGATCAAGATGTAGATAGGGAGGCCACATTCGTGTTGTTGCGGTTACAGCGGCAGAAATTGGTGTTTGGCAATGATGATCATTTATCATCATCTACTATGACAATTTTATCGGACATGGGAAGGAGAATCGGTTCTTGATGTCTATGCTTGATATTAGAAATCAAGCTTGTAAAAAGCTAACTCAAACATTGTGCATGATCATAAAAAAATGTCTTAAAAGTGTTTGGAAAACGTATATAGATCGATCATATTTTCTTTGGATGTTTGTGATTGTGGAACGTCGTGTTACATGCTGCTGATGATAGAGAGAGAGAGAGACGCGGACGTAAACCAGAGATAACGTGAGAGTTGAGAAACCAATTCTATCAGAGATACTTGAGGCCCAAGACAAATTTGGGTCAAAACTATATGAAGTAATAATATAACCCACATCGGTAAGTATGAAAGATGAAAGCTAATATAAAGGTGTAAACAATTAAGTTTGATTGTCAGTTGGTTGGAGTGAGGAGTTGATCTTGTGAGCAGAAATCGTATTGAGAGTTGAGAAACCAATTCTATCAGAGATACTTGAGGCCCAAGACAAATTTGGGTCAAAACTATATGAAGTAATAATATAACCCACATCGGTAAGTATGAAAGATGAAAGCTAATATAAAGGTGTAAACAATTAAGTTTGATTGTCAGTTGGTTGGAGTGAGGAGTTGATCTTGTGAGCAGAAATCGTAGTGATTGTTCTGATGATGTCTAAAGATTGAGGAGCCACTCTATCGGTTTGCCACCTGCTAGCCTACTCTTACCAATTGGCCATTTTTGAAATTCGATAGGCTATAGAGAAATTCTGAAAGTGTTATCGTGAATAATGTGTTCCCTAAATCTGTTGAAATTCATCGGATATCCGGCTCCGGTAGAGAATCGTGGCAGTTGTCTCCTTCAAATCATTGCAGTACACGTGTTCTAACTTTTAACACTTTTAAGAAATCACAAGCACACAGAACCCGCAGAAACTCGGGTAAACAAGGCAAAAGCAAGATGACGATATTTATATATATGTAAAAAAGTTAAAGAAGTTTTTGAGTGTGCTCAAAGTGTATCCCAACAATATTGTTAGCTTCGTGGTAAAACATACAAATTTTCTATCTTTCTGAATTTTCCAGAAAAGAAGGGATGAAGCAAAGTCGTTGGTTATGGTTAGCTAGAGTTGTGTTGGGCATAGATTTTGTTAGAAGCATTTGGTGTTGTGAGCCTCTGAAGTGTTTCCCTTTTGTGGAGACTTCAAGCTCTATTGGTGATACTAACTTGTATGCAGGTTGGTTTCATTTTCAAGACTCTTCAGGCTCTTGTGTTAGCCGCTTATCTCCTAACGGGCGTTTATTAGCTCCAGACTCAGTTGCTGGAAAGCTTGCCCTATCAACTGCTCTTCTTGAAACAGCATTTGCTGGACTCATAGTATTGGATGTGCTATTTGACTCCCAAAGCCTCAACCTTCCTTTGATCTCTAAAGATGTTGTTAAGTATCTTTATGAAATTAGGTGTTTAAGTGTTGAGTTTAATTGTATCTGCTTTACATTTGTTTCTTGTCCAGCCATGGTTATGGTTTGGTTTGTTGTGAACAATTCCTCCTCTAATGGAGTTTAAGATTAATCTATGAAGTATTTGTTGACCAAAAAAAAAAAAAAGAAGCAAAGTCGTTGGTTAATTTTCTTTTAGGGTGGGTGAAAGAGATATTTTTTTACAAAAATAAATAAATCATACATATTTTCTATCTTTTTGAATTTCCAGGAAAGAAACAGATTAAGCAAAGTCGTTGCACTACCCAAAATGCAGGCAACAAAAGGTAAATATAATCATTTTTGATGAGTTTTGGATCAAAAGCTTCAAGCTTTATCTAACAATGTTAACCTAGAATGTGAAGATGAGGTAACCACAGTCTAGAAGATGATACATAGGGAAGAAGATAACTTAGAAGGATCTGAGTTTGGATGATGATGAACAGATGAGACACAAAGAATACTTGGTAATATTTTCATTAAGTTTTCCATCTCTAGCATTTTTTTTATCTCCATTAGTCATATTATCACACACCATCTGCAAAATAACATCATAAAGAGATTCTTGGTAGGTTTAAAGTCTTTGGCTGGCTTGATTTCCCAAAATTTGAAAGCTGGTCCTCGTCTCAGAGTCTTCATGCTTGACAACAAAGCATAATGTGTTTCTTCTATAATTGGATTCACAAATGAGTTAAAATACTTTGTGCATGATGGGAATGTAGTAGGGATCTTATCAACCTATTTCCATCATGCACAGAGTATTTCAAGTCATTTGTGAATCCGATCATCGAAGAGACACATGTTCTGCTTTGTTGTCCAGCATGGAGACTCTGAGACAAGCACCAGCTTTCAAATTCTGGGAGATAAAGCCAGCCAAAGAATTTGAACCTCTCAAGAATCTCTCGTTAGAAGACAATAGATTCCAAATCACCAATCTAACAAAAAACCTAAATATGGAAGCATGTAAACAAATCCAAGAAATGACAATGAGCATATGTGTTTGTCACATCCAAGAAGATTGTCACAATTAACGGATGTGTCTCCAAGAAGACAGCCTCGTTGATACAGTTTTATCACAAATGCAAGCACAATTAAGTCCATGTTTTTTGTATAACAACAGTGTACATATGTGTGTGTAGCTTCATGCAACTTAATTGTGGAAAAAAAAGGAGTAAACAATCATATACAATTATGTGATTTGACAATGAGAAACATTGAATTAGATTCGCAATATAAGATATTCACCAAACGAACAAAAAGCCCTATATATTGATAACAGTAATAGAATCGAGATTTACAAGGTTCACTAAACCAACAAAAGCCATAAATAATTGAAAACACTAATAGATTCGAGATTTAATATATTAACCAAAACACACACAAAAAAAACCCTATATATTTAAAACGGGTCATTAAAGAATCCATAAAAACACACTAATAACATAATCAATGAGGAAAAGCGATGGATACAAGGTTTTTTTTTGAAGAAATATATTTTCCACGAACAAGTTTCCGAATAAAAGAGAGGATAGGAGGAGATATATATATATATATATAACAGTAATATATATATATATATATATGGTGAGAGTGTTTATGAGATTTAAGGGTGGAGACATGTATGGATCGAGAGGAGAGTAAGGGGATTTTATAGGAGACGAAATATGTTGGAGCGGGTTTTAAAAATTTTGAAAAACAAAAAATGGAAACTAAAACAAACATTATCTTGTAGTTCCATAAAATTGGGTCATATTACCAAAAAATAAATGGGAAACAAATCAAACAAAATCATTGGTAAGAAAATTTTGTTGTAGGCTTTTGTTTAGTCACACATGCCAATTAGGAAAAATATCCAATCTGATTTTGTTTACTTGAAAAGACAAATCCAGCTATGTTTTCTTTTTTGTTTAAGAGGTAATTAGCTGTATTTGCACACACACACAAAAAGAGTTGAATTAGCTGTATTAGCCCACGTTGCATTTTCTTTTTTTTTGTTAAAGGCCAAGATGCCCTTTACTACTTGGATCTTCTCACTAAGACTCTAACGCCACATCATCACGTAGGACACGTTGCTTCACAAATGTAGGAGATACATCTAGGTTATTCTCCGTAAGATTTCTGATTTTCACTATTTTGGCAATGATGATCAATTATCACATCTATTGGAACAGAATATAACACTTTTTATCAGACATGGGAAGGAGAATTTGTTGTTTGGTGTGTTTATGCTTGATATTAGAAATCAAGCTTGAAAACGCTAACTCAAACATTGTGCATGATCATAAAAAAATGTCTTAAAAGTGTTTGGAAAACGTATATAGATCGATCCTATTTTCTTTGGATGTTTGTGCTTGCGGAACTTTGTGTTGCATGTTGGTGATAATAGAGAGAGACACGGACATAAACGAGACCCACTGAGATAACGTGAGAGGCTGGAAATCACTTCAATCAAAGATACTTGAGACCCCAGACAAATTTGGGTCAAAATTATATGAAATAATATATATATATATATATATTTTTTTTTTAAATACTTTTATTCATAAATTTCCTTCCAAAAGGGATACAAAGCAGAAGGGAGATTACAAATCACAACACACAACAGCAGCATAACAGCGGCAGTAGTAGATAGAAAAGCAAAAGCTTAAGATTGAAATAACCTGAACCAAGTAACGAGAAACGAGTCCTCTCTTCTAGCAGAAAGAGAGGAACCGGTTGGTGAGACAATAGGAGAAGACCGGTCTAAGCTGAAAAGCTTAGCTCTCAAGAGAAGTTGGATTTCCTTTATCAAAACATGAACCGGTTTCTTGTTTGGTGTATGGAGTCTAGAATTCCTCTCACGCCAAAGACAGTAAACTATTGCTTGTACCAAAAGCTTGCAAATTATATTGACCCTTTTATGAGGTGTGGGAGAGAGAAACCAATGAGCGATGTCGTCTATTGAAGTAGGAAGGACCAAACCTGAGTGATTAAAGAAACTTGTCCAGATTCCTTAGAATAAACACAGTCTCCTAAGAGATGGACCTTGGTTTCCGGATGGGAATCGCAGAGAAGACATGAATCAGGAACTGATAGACCCCACGATTTTAACCTGTCGCGTGTAAGTAGACGATCCCTCATGACAATCCACATTATGAACGCATGCTTAGGGATCCTTTGCTTAAACCAAACAGATTTAGTCCAAGTAACAGAGGGGCCTGCCGGATGGAGAAAGTCCCACGTCTTAGAGGATGAGAATTCCCCTGGAGAATCAAGAGGTGAGTTCCTCCATAAGAAGACGTCCTTGTTACTATTTAGAGAAGCTGGGACCGAGGGAGGCAAACAATCTCGTAAGAGCCTCAGAATAGGGTGTCTCCCACCAGAAATTGACCAAGTAGAACCACAACAAGCCTCGCTAACTGTGGCCATTCTTTGAATACCCGTTACTCTCAGACCATTTACACCTGTTATGTCAATCAGTGGCCCCAAATCGGACCAATTATCATGCCAAAACAGAGCAGTATTGCCTGAGTTAACCTTAATGAACAAATGCGATCTGGCTACGTCTCGGAGATTCAAAAGATGTTTCCAGATCCAACTTCCCGTCACGTGAAGCGAGGGGCACCAAAATAATCTTCCTCTGAGAACATATTTCTGCACCCAAGCTACCCAAAGAGAGCCATTTGAGGCAAAAATCATCCAAATCAACTTTAGACCAAAAACTTGGTTCATATCTTCAAGTCTTCGCAAGCCAAGCCCACCGGAACTCTTAGGAGAACAAACTGATTCCCAAGAGACTCTCGCTCCTCTGGCTGAGTCCGGAGCACCATTCCAAAGAAAGGCATTACACATTTTTTCCAAGAGACTGAAACATCTTTTTGGAAGAGGGAAAGCAGCAGACCAGAAGTTGATGGTGCTATAGATAACAGACTGGATTAGTTGTAATCTTCCCGCAAAGGAGAGTTGCCGAGCTGTCCAAGAGCAAATTCTAGACCTGACTTTATCAATAAGAGGTTGGTAGTCTTGGGGTCTCAATTTGTGAGGCATAAGAGGGAGTACCAAGTACCGTACTGGAAGAGATCCGTGGACCAACCCAAATAGAGACGCTAACTGTTGAGTAAGAACAGGTTTGTTGCCAACGAGAAAAAGACATGATTTGCGGAGACTCAAGGCCAAACCAGAAGTGCCTTCAAAATCCTTAAGAACATGAAGAATGCCTCGAAGAGAATCCTCAGAACCATCAAAGAAGATAAGAACATCATCTGCGAAACTCAAATGGGTAATGAGAGGATCGAAGCATAAAGGATGGGGTCGGAAGCTACCATTCAGAACCGCCTTGTCCAGTAACTTAGACAAAATGTCCATTGATAAAACGAACAGAGAAGAGGAGATAGGGTCCCCTTGCCTTAACCCTTTCATACCTTTAAAAAACCCTGCCAACTCTCCATTCACGGAAATATAATAATAAGGCGTAAAGATGCATAGAAATATCCACTTAATGAAAACTTCGGGCAATTCCAATGCTTCCAAAATGGTAATGATAAACCTCCAGTCGACATTGTCATATGCCTTGGAGATATCTATTTGCAAACAGCCTCTTGAAATAACACCATCTTTGTTAAAGTCTCGAACCAACTCGGAGGCTAAGAGAACATTTTCACACAGAAGCCTCCCTTGGACAAACCCCACTTGATTTCTCTGAACTACTTCAGGAATTAACCTCTTAAGACGCAGAGATAAAATTCGAGAGATGACCTTGTACACTGTATTGCATAGAGAGATGGGCCTGAAGTTTTGAAGCGTTTCAGCTCCTGCAATTTTAGGGATCAGGGAGATTACCGTTGTATTGACTTGTCGCAGCATAAAGGACCCAGTAAAGAATTCTCTCACTGCCGCTAACAGATCTGGACCCACCAAATCCCAAGAGGAGGTGAAGAACTCCATAGTGAATCCGTCCGGACCTGGTGCTTTATTTTTCGGGAGAGAGAACAAAGCTTGGGTAATCTCAGCATCTGTTGGGATAGCAACCAGAGAAGAGGCCATTACATTTCCACAGCGATAAGGATGAATGGCTTGAATCTGGGCCTTAGAAAAGGGATGCACCGCAAGGTTTGGAGAACCCAAAAGATCACGATAATAAGCAACTGTCATTGACTTAAGCTGCTCTGGGTTGGAAACTTTAATCCCATTATTATCTCTCAGGTGATGAATGATATTCCGGGACAGATTTGCCTTAACAGAGCGATGGAAAAACCTAGTATTTGAATCACCTTCCTTAAGCCAGTGGACTCTAGATTTCTGTCTGAAGAAGGATTCTTCAGCAGTCGAGAGAAGAACCCAAGATTTTCTTGCCTCAAATTCGAGATGGAACAGCTCAGGAGAAGGATCAGAAAGCAAGTTGCGTTGTACTGATTCCTGGGCTTCCAGAGCTCCCTTTGATCTTGCCTGAATGTTACTGAAGGAAGATCGATTTAATCCTTTGCAACAAGCCTTTGCCGATCTCAGTCGCTGGTAAAGGGAGAAAGTGGTACCTCCTGAGACACTTACAGAACTCCAAGCCTCTTCCATAAGGGTCCGGTAATCAGGGTGAAGAGTGAAAAAGGTGAAGAAGTTGAATCTGATCTTCCGACGAGTAACTTCATTTGATAGAGAGACCAAGCACGGAGAGTGATCTGAGCTACCTGGTGTGTCAAAGAGAGCATTAGAGTTGGGATAGGTGTCTTGCCACACCTCATTAATGACAGCTCTATCTAGCTTCCTAGCCTTGGGATTTGTCAAAGATTTATTATCCCAAGTATAAAAGCATCCTCTGGACGAAATATCGAAGAGTTGGCAAGAATCAAGGCACTCTTGTAAATTCACCATGCCAAGAAGGGAAATAGTTGTCGGAAGCAACGAGTAAGCTTCATCAATAGAGAGGATCTGATTAAAATCTCCCATAACGATCCAGGGAGAAGAAGAGACCGGAACAGTGGAAGCTAACTCCCTCAAAAGATCCCACAAAACAACTCGTTCCTCTCTCGTATTCCTTGCATAAATGAAGGCAATGTTGAAAGAATGACGGGTTGCAGGATTATAAACTCCCACTAGGATGAGCTGAGATGTTTTCAAAAATGTAATGACAGATAAGAGAGGGTCCCAAACCACTATAATTCTACCATTTTCCGCCTCTGGGGAGTGATTACTATCAAATCTCCACCCAAGAAAAAGATGATTTATAGACGCCGACATGTTTTGCTGCTGAATGTGTGTTTCCAAAAGACCTCCTATAAGAGGTTGATTAGTCATAAACCAACATTTGACTGTTGATTGCCTGGTATCGCCATTCATGCCTCGAACGTTCCAGGAAAAGCACTTCATAAGAAGTAAAAAAAGGTGCTGCTAGACACCTAGGAATCAGTAACAAGAGCACCTGCTAAGCGCGGATGCTCTGACGGACTTGCAAAAGACGAAACTGAAGTACAGGAATCCACTTCCTCGGGATCCGGAGGAGGTCTAGTTGTCAGAGAAGAGGAAATCTGACGAGCTTGCTGCCTCTGAACTCGCCTCTGCATTTTTGGAATGAGCAGGGGTGTTGGAAAGGATCCCATTGATTGTAAGGCCTTGAAACGATTCCTAATAACCACTTGGGCACTTTTATTAACATCCTCTTCTTCACCAAACTGGGATGAAGTCACCGGTTGTGCTCGACGAGCATTCTCTGAAGAGGTTTGAGAAACCGTAGGAGGTTTGGACCTCTTCGTAACTTTAGTATACCCATCCAGAGGATCACTCACCGGAGCGTCTTCCGAAATAACAATTACAGTAGAACTAGTTGAGGGAGATAAATGGTCTTGAACACTGGAGGAGGAGTGAACATCCTGAGCTTCCTGATTACTCTCAGAATCCTCCACAACCAAGACTTCCTTTGAAGTAGCAGGAACTGATCTCGGAGAAGAAGTTCCCTTTGAAGGAGTAGAGGATTTTGCCAACAATTGAGCCATTGGAGCAAGTGGGACAATTGTTGAGGGGAAACGTAACTCCAGGTGACCAAACTCTCGACAATTACTACACTTTGGAGGGAGCTTAAGAACTTCAACCAAAACCAGAGCAAAATTCCCAAATTTATCCTTGATCCGAATTGAGTTGGCTCTTAGCTTGACCACTCCATTAGAGTAGGGTTTAATATTGGGAAATTTGGAATGGACAGGAATCCCCACCGCTGACGCAATGGTACTGAAGCCAACCTCCGACCAGAGCTCCGGTGGAACACGCCTAAAGAGGACCCAAACAGGGGCATGTACCAGCTTCATTCTGCGAGTAGATGATGAAGGTTCCCAAGGAGTTACAGTGATAGAACAATTTCCCGAATGCCAGAAGCCAACATCTAGAACCCAATTCCTTGTGTCGAGATTTGGAATAAGAATAAGGAAAACTCCCGGAGAATGATGCTTAATTGAAATAAGACCTTTTAAACCCCAAATCGGATTCAAATCGGAGAATATCTTGGCTACAGAAGGAGGGTTCCCGTGAAAGTAGGCGACAATATGATTCTTCCAGATCTGAGCTGAACTCAAGACTATGGAATCAGGGGCCTGGATCTGAGGAATACCATCGGAAGACATAGTTGGGGAACCAATCTTCGTTAAATTTTTGAATTGGGGCTTGAAATTGGAGATCCAAGAAGTTGATTTGTCCGGTAGAGAAGTTGCCGAAGGTTCCGAAGAGGAGACCGGAGGACAACCTGACAGAGGAGCACAAGGCAAAGGAGGTGATGCCGGGATTGAAACCGTAGGGGAGATAGCCTCAATAGAAGCAGACGACGAAGTGAGCGGAGGAGCAGAAGACAAGAAGAGAAGATCCGGGGGAATGTCCGAGGGAGGAGAGGCTCCCTCAGCCATGGGAGAGGAAGGGGGAGAGTTCTCGGCTACGAACGTGAGGCACCGTCGCCGGCGGCGGTAGGAAGGAAGACCCTAATCGCCTTATCGCGAGTTCACAAGAGAGAGAAAATCGCTCAATATTTTTATTAGACTTATGAAATAATAATACAAGTATGAAAGATGCAAACTAATATATAAAAGTGTAAACCATTAAGTTTGATCCTATGAAATCGAGAGATTGAGGCTTAATCGTATTGGTTTGCCATGGGGTAGCCTACTCTTACCGATTGACTCTTTTTGAAATTGACTGTTTTAATTATTACCTTATCTTTGACCTAACTTTAGGCACACGTATACTATTTTGCGCTTACACGATTGACAATGATGGAAACATAACGTGTGTTGCGTGGTCTTCGTGTGGCGGAAATAAATTTTTCACTGATTTCACATGCCAATAATGCGTCGAAGCCACTGAAAGGACAAATGATATGATGTCCATTGAAGAGTAGTTCGTGAGATTAAGTCCCACCAAATGATCAAGTCCTGTTACAAGAGAGATTTAAATCTCTTCTGAAGCTACCGATTAGGCAATGAACCCAACAATATTTTTTGGTGGCTATATTGAAAACAAGATATTGTATTTTTCAAGGCCTTGGATGGCTATATCAGCTGTGTAATCTCTTCGGTGGATGTCATTAACAGAGCTAATTAACCTGCAAGCTATGGCGTCAATAGCAGTTCGCAGGCAAGGATAGATGATGATCATTTACAAATATCATCATTGAATTAACATCATTCAGTCATCATTATTGTAAATCCTCGTTAACTGAAACACGTTAATGGAAAAATAAAAATGACAGCGAGTTCAAAACAAAAAAGTGTTATTTTAGATGCAAAAATTATTGTTTAATCACATGCCAAATTGGTCAATCAGAAGTAAACATTTCTTCTGGTGAGACGTTTGCTTCTTGTTTGTCCTTTTGTTGCTGTTTGACACATATTCAAAACATTTCTTCCTCCAGTGTGTGACACATATTCAAGACAAAATGAGAGCAAGTCTTATCACTAAACTGTATGATGTCGCTAGCTACTTCTATAAACGTGATATAAACAAAAGAAACCAGGACTAGTCAAATGGACAAAAAGCGAAAAGAGTAATGAAAAGCAAACCTTCTTGTGTATAGAAAGTTAGAAACCAAAGCAAAAATTGTGCCCACATGGTGCCTGAAAAATACACATACAAGGTATCCATTACCTCTGCTTAATTGTCGTCAAATCTGTCATGTAAAGTTCACGATATCAAATACTCAGCAAAGTGTTATCTTTAATCATTGACAAGAACAATAATTGGTCAAAAAATAATTTAAAAAAAAACAGTCCACAAACGGCAACCAAATGCCAATAAGAAAGTGTACAAAGTCATCTGCAGAAATAAAGTTGCCTAACAATTTTTAACGACACCATAAACTGGCCATCATTATAATTACCAAGTCCCAACGAACTAATCCAAGTAAACAAAAGCAGGATAGATTAACAACGTATTAATGGATGAATTGTACAACTTTCGTTATCTATCTATAAATATATGGTTGAAGATTAAAACAGAAACAAAAGAAAAGAAGGAAGTTGGAAAATATGAGAGGTTTTGTTTTTCTTAAATTTCCCTGCATAGCTAAACTCATTAGTCATTGGTTTTTTTGTAGTTTATAGAGAAGCTAATGATAATGATTCTGTAGTCAGGTCACAGGATCGAGTGCCGCTTGGGACGAAACCAATGTACATGTAGCTTCGGGTTTATTAGGGGATCCGACATGGCCAGATATAATGACACCTTTATCCATAGTGCTTATGAAACATGAAGTCTCGTTCATACCATACCCTCCACGCACAGAACATCAAAAAGCATATGTACATCATGAATGAGCAAAGACAATATTTTCTTTGTTGTTTTACAATGTTGTATAAGAGTTTCAGATTCATACACGGAAATCACGGAAATCTCAGTTTCAGATGATCCTGTCAAAGAAATATAATATATTAACCATACCAACCCCTAGATTCTGAATCCATGAAAACACACTAATAACATAACCAATGAGGAAAAACGAGAGGCAACTGGATACAGAACAAGGGAAAGAGATAGAGAACAAACCGTGACACGTCTTTCAGGCAACTGGACACAGAAAACACATTGCAAGTTTTCTCCATCGTTGGGTTAGGTTCGTATACTACAAGGCCGGAAACGGGATGATAGTTTCAGGATGGGAAGAGACGCAGGACGGTGCCAAGGCGTATGCATGTGCTGCACGTAAAAGATTCCTCCGTAGGTGGCGTTGCCTTGCACGGCATGCATACACCGACGACTGTTGGATATTTAAGTGAATAAGGTGTTACAACATATACAAAGGTGTTCCAACATATTGCGAATAGGTGTCTTTGGTATAATCATTAAATGGACGTTGCAAACGTCCATTGAAGCCTTATGAGAACTTTATAAGTTCTGTTGTCTCTCTGAGACATGAGACAGAAGAATTTCGAGATCTACAGAGATAGATCTGATTCACAAAAGCAACCAAAGTAAACACACACAAGATCTCTTCTTGTTACTCTTTGATCTTAAGCCTAGACAAAGAGTGGATGTGATTGTCTTATCCTGCGAGGGATTTCGTGTAACCCAAGGCTGTATAGGGTCGAAATACTCTTTAAGGAAACTGCTTCGTACAGGATTCAATCACAATCCAAGATACCCAAACTTTTCTCTCTGAAACACAGTTTTCATTGTTCCAACACCCTGCGCTCTGTTCCAACACCGCGAAACAGAGGAGATAAACCAACAATCTTAAAGAGTATTTTCTGAGAACGATGGCTGGTGTTTCTGTGCGTGAGATGACTACCAAGTTTGGGAAATTAGAGAAGTCTGGAGGAGTCGAATTCAGAAGATGGTAAAGAAGATGCACTTTCTTCTCACACCCCTTGATATGGTGACTGTTCAAAGCATGTTGATGCCCACCATATTGGAGGACCGAAATCTGCAAATTGGCTAAGGTATGATCACAACCGTGGAATGATATGGTTAGTGACTGGCGTAGGTTGCTTCGATTAAGTTATGGTTTAGTTACTTGACAAGTTCCAACATAGATCCGCTGTTCCAACAACAGTCGGAAATGATAGTTTCTTATGGCATATGAGATTAGGCCATGTACATTATGCTAGGATGCTTGAAATGTCGAAGGAAGGTTTAATTCCTGGTTTTGACATGAATGTAGAGAAATGCAGAACATGTATGTTGACTAAGATAACTAGGAAGAAATTTGATAGCATTGTTAGGGTATCGGAAGTCCTTGGACTGATTCATAGTGATTTATGTGATTTGCATGCTACACCATCTCTGGGGAATAAGAAATATTTTGTCACATTCATTGATGATTATTCCAGATATTGTTCTGTATATTTGTTGCACTCTAAGGATGAAGCCTTAGAGAAATTCAAGGTTTACAAAACTGAGGTTGAATTGCAACAAAGTAACTTGATTAAAAAGTTACGCACCGATAGAGGTGGTGAGTATTATGATCCTGCTTACTTTCAGTCTGTGGGTATAATACATGAGGTCACAGCTCCTTATACACCACAACAAAATGGTGTATCTGAGAGGAAGAACAGAGTCCTTAAAGAAATGGTTAATTCCATGTTATCCTACTCTGGATTGAGTGACGGTTTCTGGGGTGAGGGCATGTTAACAGCATGTTACTTGTTGAACAGAGTTCCTAACAAAAGGAACAAGATAACCCCATATGAACTTTGGTACAAAAAGAAGCCTAACTTGAACTACCTTCGAGTTTGGGGCTGCAGGGCTGTAGTAAGACTACCCCAACCAAAGATAAGAACTTTGGGAGAAAGAGGTATTGATTGCATCTTTATTGGTTATGCTGAGCATTCCAAGGCTTATAGGTTCTATGTCATTGAACCTAATGATTCTATAGCAGTTCACACTGTGATTGAGTCAAGAGATGCAATATTTGATGAGAATCGTTTCACATCAATACCTAGACCAAAGGATCTGGTTTCGTTTGGAACTGGACAAGGAGATGGTACAAACGTACGTTCCAACATCTCGGCTTGTGTTCCAACAACCAGCGAGTCACCTGTACTTCGTAGAAGTAAGAGAGGAAGGATTGAGAAATCATTTGGTCCTGAATTCCAAATTTATTTGGTAGAAGGTTCAAGAGATGAGATTGTTCTACAATACTCATATTGTTACCTAGTTGGTGATGAACCTAGGACATTCAGTGAAGCTATGGCTTCATTGATGCTGCTTTCTGGAAAGAAGCTGTAAATGATGAGATGGACTCTATAGTAGGAAGCAATACTTATTTCCTGACTGATCTCCCACCTGGTTGCAAAGCTTTAGGCTGCAAGTGGATTTTCACAAAGAAAATGTTGATCGGTGGTGCAATCGATAAGTTCAAAGCTCGATTGGTTATACAAGGTTTTAGACAAAGGGAAGGCATTGATTATTTTGATACATATGCTCCTGTTGTCAGAATCTCTTCTATAAGGTTCTTGATTGGTTTAGCAGCCATTCATGATCTTGTGATCCATCAAATGGATGTTAAGACTGCATTTTTAAATGGTGTCTTGGAAGAAGAGGTGTATATGGAACAACCAGAGGGATTTGTTGTGCCTGGAAGTGAGCACAAGGTGTGCAAGCTGGTGAAATCACTGTATGGGCTGAAACAAGCTCCTAAGCAATGGCATCAAAGATTTGATGAAGCTGTCTTGTCTTTTGGTTTTAAGATTAACCAATCAGATAAGTGTTTATATAGCAAGTTTGATGATTCCAGTAATGGAGTGATCATTTGTCTATATGTGGATGACATGTTGATCTTTGGTACCAACCTTAGATTAGTGGAACTCACAAAAGAGTTTTTGTCATCAAATTTCGCCATGAAGGACATGGGGGAGGCGGATGTGATTCTTGGTATTAGAATCAAGCGTGACAATGGGAGGATATGTTTATCACAATCTCACTACGTTGAGAAAGTGTTAAAGAAGTTCAATTACTTGAACTGTGCCCCTGTAAGTACTCCCATGGAGGCAAGTGTAAACTTATGCCTAACACAGGAAAGGCTGTGTTGCAACACGAATATTCTCAAGTGATTGGATGCTTAATGTATGCAATGACAAGCACAAGGCCAGATATTGCATATGCAGTTGGAAGGTTGAGTAGATACACTAGTAATCCTAGTACTCACCATTGGCAGGCTGTAAAGCGTGTGCTCAAGTACTTGAGAGGAACCATGGACTATGGTTTGTGTTATGGAGGATTTCCTTCGGTTTTGGAAGGTTATTCTGATGCAAGTTGGATCACCAACGTGGAAGATCATACTTCTACAAGTGGTTGGGTGTTCCTACTTGGGGGAGGTGCCATTTCTTGGGCATCTAAGAAACAAACTTGTATCACAAGTTCGACTATGGAATCTGAGTTTGTGGCTTTGGCAGCTGCTGGTAGAGAGGCTGAGTGGTTGAGAAACCTTGTCTCTGAGATTCCATTGTGGTCGAAACCAGTGTCTCCTATCTCAATCCATTGTGATAGTCAAGCAACTTTGGCTAAGGCTTATAGCCAAGTGTACAATGGAAAGTCGAGACACCTTGGCGTAAGGCATAGCGCTGTTCGTGAATTGATCACTCACGGTGTGATAACTTTAGAGTTTGTTCGGTCTCAGCAGAATCTAGCAGATCACTTGACGAAGGGTCTGTCTAGGGACTTGGTAATAAAGTCAGCTGAAGGGATTGGTTTGAAGTCCATCTCAAACCTCTAGTCGTGGGACACCCAACTCCCTTCTAGTACAACGCTAGGAGCTGAGTTCAAGGTGAGCCCATTCCTTGAGAGGTTGTAGCACTGTTTATGTAATCCCAAAGGAAGTGCTTATTATCTGCATGAAAGTTTAGGTTGAAGTATGACTTCTTAATAGATCCTTTGAAAAATTGCAAATGCAGAAGCAAGATGTAAAGGATCTACCTATGTGAGTGTGAAGTGTAGCCGCTTCAAGAAGCTTGGACTTGGCTTTCTATGCACTCATGAGAGGATTGGACACATGGCTGTTAATAGTGTCAAGAAACATTAAGAGTAGTGAGAAACTCATGCGTGTTTCACCCTCTCGTGGCCAAAGTAGTTGATAAGTTCAATCCATAGGACACTTTGATTCTCGGTCATTAGATGCGTGTGATTCACAGTATGTAAATTCAATCGATACGACATTTATATATATGCATGTGGTTTGGTTTATTCGTTGCTGGATTTTGTGAATGAAAGATTACACTTAAATGGGGGAGGAATGTTGGATATTTAAGTGAATAAGGTGTTACAACATATACCAAGGTGTTCCAACATATTGCGAACAGGTGTCTTTGGTATAATCATTAAATGGACGGTTGCAAACGTCCATTGAAGCCTTATGAGAACTTTATAAGTTCTGTTGTCTCTCTGAGACATGAGACAGAAGAAATTCGAGATCTACAGAGATAGATCTGATTCACAAAAGCAACCAAAGTAAACACACACAAGATCTCTTCTTGTTACTCTTTGATCTTAAGCCTAGACAAAGAGTGGACGTGATTGTCTTATCCTGCGAGGGATTTCGTGTAACCCAAGGCTGTATAGGGTCGAAATACTCTTTAAGGAAACTGCTTCGTACAGGATTCAATCACAATCCAAGATACCCAAACTTTTCTCTCTGAAACACAGTTTTCATTGTTCCAACACCCTGCGCTCTGTTCCAACACCGCGAAACAGAGGAGATAATCCAACAACGGCGTCGTCGGCGTTGCATGGAAGATGTGCGATTTCGATGAAAGTGGCCGAATAAAAGAGAGGATACCAGGAGAGCTAGAGAGAGATATTGTGGGCCACTGAAGCCCGCTTATGAAGTGAAACCCGTGAAGCCCAACAAAACCCGTGAAGCCCAACCGAAGAATATTCTATAGAAATCTTATTGTGATAAGAATTAGGAAGATTTACATTATTTGGTGTTATCAATAATGTCAATGTTCAACCTTATATACCGTAAAACCTCTATAAAATAATAATGTTGGGAATTTGAAAATTTATTATCTTATAGAGTTATTATTTTATGGATAGAACAATAATTATTAGTTTCTTGATTCATAAAGTAATAAACTATTAATTTATAGAGAGATTTTTTTATTTGAATTCTTGATATTCAATAAAAAAAATGATTTTAAACACTGTTAAATTTGTTCAAAATATGTTGTATCAATAAATTTGGCAAGATTTAATCAAATTTGAAATAATAATTGAATAATGTTCTGATTAACTACCGTATATACTTAGTTATATATGTCTATATTTGTACTTACTATTTTACTTTATTATTTTACTTTATTATTGGGACCATATATTTACATATGATTTTCATATATATTATTATCTTATTATCTTATCGAGTTTTGCTAATTTTTACACCGGTCCGACTTGGAACCGGCACAATTTATTATTTTATAATAAATATTATCTTATCGAGTATTATTTTATAGAGGTTCTACTGTATATGGGTTTTATATTCTTGTATCAAGAACACAACTCAATAATATATTCCCTTCTATAATATTTGTCATGTTTTAGATTCTTTTTTTTTTTAACTTCAAGATTTTTACTAAATTCTAGGTAAAATTGTAATATGTTTACAGCTTTATCCTTGCTATTCATTCTCGTACAAGTAATTAGTAAAGTTTTAGAGGATAAAATAAACGACATTTTTATTTACTTTTTTTTTATTTACTTGTTAGAATAATAATATGCAAAACCTCAAAACATCAAAAATTATAAAACGAAAGAAGTATTGAATAACATACAATTTGTGAGTTTCATACAACTATCATTCCATGTTTAATTTAATTATATCATTGGAATTTTATTATTAAAACAACATTCACCCACACACATGAAGAAGAGATTAAATCACACTTATGGCCGCAGAATGTGTCTCTTCGGTGATTGGATTCTCAAATTACTTGAAATACTCTGTGCATGATGGGAATATTGTAGGGATCTTATCAACCTTTTAAACCAAATCCACAAAAGCACACCCTAATAAACTAGGTTGTGTTTTGATTTAATAGGTTGATAAGATCCCTACAATATTCCCATCATGCACAGAGTATTTCAAGTCATTTGAGAATCCAATCACCGAAGAGACATTTTGCTTTGTTGTCAAGTATGGAGACTCTGAGACGAGCACCAGCTTTCAAGTTCTGGGAGAGTATGTCGGTATAGTTCTCTCGTTAGAAAAGGTGTCCCCTGATCAAAGTTGGTATAGAGCACTCGTTAGAAGACAATAGATCCGAGATAACCAAGCTAACAAAACCCTAGATATATGAAAACATGTAAAAAATAAAAAATAAACACAATTAAGTAGATGAAGACAGCCTTATTGATACAGTTTGTCACAAATGGGAAGAACAACTAAGTCCATGTTTTTTTGTATAACTACATTTTGAATGTGTACGTAGCTTCATGCAACTTATGTGTGGAAAAAAGAAAAGTAAATAATCATATCCAATTATGTGATTTGACAATGAGAAACATTGAAATAAATTCGTCATTTAAGATATTAACCAAACCAACAAAGATCCCTAGATATTGATAACGCTAATAGAATCGAGATTTACAAGATTCACTATACCAACAAAAAGCCGTAGATTATTGAAAACACAAATATATTCGACATTTAATATATTAACCATACCAACCCATAGATACTGAAAACGGGTCAATTAAGAATCCATGAAAACACACTGATAACATAATCAATGAGGAAAAGCGAGAGGCAGATATACAGAACAAGGGAAAGAGATAGAGAACATACCGTGACGCGTGTTTCAGGACACTGGATATAGAAAACACGTTGCAAGTTTTCTCCATCGTTGGGTTGGGTTCGTATATTGCATCGCCGGAAACGGGATGATAGTTTCAGGATGGGAAGAGACACAGGCTGGTGCCAAGGCGTCCGTCTGTGGGTGGCGTCGCCTTGCACGGCATGCATACACCGTCGGCATCAGCGTTGCATGGACGCTTTGCGATTTGGACGAAGAAAAGAGAGGATAGGAGGAGAGAGAGATATGGTGAGAGTGTTTATGAGATTTAAGGGCGAAGAGATGTATAGATAATGAGGAGAGTGGGGGATTTTATAGGAGACAAAATGTGTAGGAGCGGGTTTTAAATTTTTTGAAAAAAAGTTATAAGAAAATGAAACCAAATCATATTTGGCAAATTCCATAAAATGGGTCGTATCACCCAACAAAAAAGGGAAACAAATCTCACAAAACCTAATTTTGTAGGATTTGTTTTCTATAGTTTACACATCCCACTTAGAAAAAAAATATAATCCGATTTTTTTCTATTTGAAAATGTTGAATTGGCTGTATTTGGATACACACAAAAAGGGTTGAATTAGCTGTATAGCCAAAATGAGTAAAATAATTACGAATTGACTTTGTATAGTACCATGCCTATTGTTTTGACTCTTGGTCAATGATTTAGTTTGTGATTAATTGCTTTGGTTTGATTATTGTATTTTACTTGTGAAATATTGCATGTTTCAAGGACTTAGCTAATAGCCTATAGCAATTGTCATTATTAGAGCTCGCATCGAGAGATTAAGGCTCTATCCTATCGGTTTGCCACGAGGAAGCCTACTCTCACCAATTGACCTTTTTTGAAATTAATTGTATTGAGTCCAAAATGTACTTCATTCCCTAAACGATTTTAACCAAATAACAAAAAGGACATTTACTATTTTCTAGGTCTCTTTTTAGAGCACTTTTCTTTAATACCCAAACGGTCACTATGCTAAAATGAATCAAAGATAGGTTTTCGAAAATTTCAGACAATACAATTTCTGGTAGAGGATCCGCGCAAACTCGTAGTGTAACGTTGCGGTTTTGTGAAGAAAATCTAAATTCTAAACCCGAATCCGACTCAAAAACCCTAATCAAAATTTTTTTTTAAAAAAACTTTTTTAATATGTCTAAACCCGAAAATCCGAAATCCAAAAAATCCCGAAAACCTTGAATCGAATAAAAAAAACTCAAAGTTTTTTGAACAGAAACCCGAACAATTTCTATATCTCTATCTCTATAAAATTAGGTCTGAGATTTTCACCGAACCCGAACTTGTCTAGAAAAACCCAAACCAAACTCGAATCAGAAATTTTAAAAACGTGAACGGTTTTTATATCACCAAATCCCAAAACCAAAAAAAAACTTTAAAAGAAACCTGAATTGAACCCGAATTAAATTTTTTAAAATAAACTTTAAACCTGAAAATCCAAAATCATATTCTATTGATTTGGTATTATCGATAGATTATGTTAAGTTTTTTTTTTTTGCATATTTTTAAGGGGGAAATTACCAATTCTAGACCACAATTTAATATTTTCTATTCAACTAAACCACAAATTGAATCAAATGCAAAACTAACCTCTATGGGTAGTAAAATTACCCCACACTCCTTCATGACCAAACAAAAAAACGCATGCCTCGATTACGATTTTAACCTCCGAACTAGGTAGATCTACCGCGGAGGTCTACCTGGTAGACAATATTAGAGGTCTACCTCGTAATAACATCTTAAATTTTAATTAATAATTAAATAAAAAATATTTGTATACAAAAACATGTATCAATAATTATAATATAGACATTATCAACTACCAAAAATATGAATGCATACAAATGCATCATTTATAGATAAACAAATATATGTAGGTTAAAATCTATAAAAATGTGAGGTCTACCGAGTAAGTCTACTATGTCATTACATTTTAATTTTAATTATAAAATTTGTTAAAAAATATTTTGATGAAAATGTTGTATACATAAATACAATACAGATAACTTGCATCTATATAAAATATAATTTCATAGATTTGAATCAGGTGAACTATGAAAAAATAAATTAGGTTAAAACCCTATAAAACCATGGGAGGTCTACCAAGTAGGTCTACTAAATCATCAAATCTTAAATTTAAATTAAGAAAATATATTAAAAAAATTTGAAATATTGGTTTCACAAATAACGAAATAATAGACAGTTAAAACTTATTAAAAATAAAATATCAGAAAAATTCATGAATCTATAAATATCATGAGTATATAGTTCATAAGGATAAGAGTTTGAGTAGATTGTTTAGGGTTCAATGGTGTAAGTTGTAGGGTTTTGAAAAATTTTAGATGAATAATTGTTTTTGATTGGTTTTACGAGTCAATGTTCGTTTATTTGTGATATACACTGTAAATTGGCAATATGGCAAGCAAATCGTTGCAAAATTGTATCTAAATTATTCGATTTAGGGTTTAGGGTAAAGTAGACCTAACCAGTAGAGCAATAGAGTAGACCGCAGTGGAGGTCTACCAAATGTTTTAACCTAGCGGGAATCCCTAAGTTTTAAACCAAAATGGCGGGAACCGGAAATTTCGTGGTAGACTGTAGTGGTAGACCGCAGTCGTAGACCGTATTTAGATCTCATTGAAGGCTTGAACCGAGATTAATTGAACCAAAATTTAGGAATTTTCTATTTAAACCGGAAAATTTATCCCAGTATAAAAGAAAAAAAACCCTAATTTTGTTAAAAAAAATCTCTGCTCTCTCTCTCTCACCGCGCTCTCTCTCTCTTGCCGCCTCTCTCTCTCGCCGTGAATTGTGGCCAGTGGCCACTATCTCCCTCTTGCCACCTTCTTCTTCTTCTTCTTCTTGGCCCTAGTTTACTCTCTCCATGGCCTGAGTTTCGAGGAGCCGCCGACGAAGTTTCGAAATGAGCCTCCGCCTCCGGCTCTGCCTCCCGTCCGACCTGTTCCACCTTCTCGGGATTCCCCGAAGAACCGAGTTTCTAGTCTCCGTCGGCGGACGTCCACACCGTCGAGATATTTCTCGGCCTCCTCCATCCTTTCTCGTCCAGTCTCAAGTAGCCGTCGGTGGCACTAGTAAGCCATTTATCTTCTCTCCATAACAGATCTAAATCCGATTTGAGCCACAACATGACATATTGACCTATTTTTCTAGATCTATTTTGCTGGATCTGAGCGCCAAAGAAGTTTTAGAGGATGTAGGGTTCGAGCACAGAAGAGAATGAAGCTGTACTGTTCCCCTTTCCCGGATCTACTCTCAAATCCTCCGGATCTGAAACTCTCCTGAAACGGTGTTGCGGCGGTCGCGGCTGGAGCGGCGGCTACAGCAGCCGTAGCTAGCAAGCAAAGTACGACGTCTCTGTTTCCCTGATACATTTGCAGGCTTTATTCCCTCTTCATCTTTCTCCTTCATTTTTTTGTTTGCTCATGCTGGATCTGGATCTGTGTCTTTGTTCCAAGGCGGTGGACGGAGGAGTGGAGGACGGAGGCGGTTAGACACGCTGTGTAATCCTCTTTGCAACCTTTTCTTTGACTTGATGCTGGTGAATCTAATGCATATAATTTTGTTCTTGACAGTGATCGCAACAATATGCATGCAAGATTACACAGAAGCTGCCACAGTTGTGTTTCTATTCTGCGTTGCAGATGGAAGCTTTGCTAAAGCCAAGCCCTTTTCTTAGTTTAAGTACTTTTCGTTTTAAGTTTAAACACTTGTTGCTTTCGAATTTGAGTTTTTTAGATTGTAAGACTTTGCATTTGCACTTCTAGTTATTGTGTGTTATTTCAACAAGTTCATGAATACTCGAAAATAATACCTCAGGTGTAGACCTCTAATATAGATCTCCAATTAATACAATACAAGACAAACTTACATAAAGAAACTCAAAACAGAACGAAGTAGATTTTTACGGTAGACCTTAAAGGTAGAGAAAAGACGTAGACATTTTTAGTAGACCTTGATATCTGTCTACTAGTGCTATAGTAGACTTTTTATTTTGCGAAGTAGACCGATTCTTATGTCTATCTTTGCGAGGTAGACCGATTCTTGATTTTGCGATATGTGTATATTTGCAAACATGTGAACAAGAGATTTTCTCAACTAGGAATACACCAAATTCACATGAACGGTTTTCCAAATTACTAAGGTGAAGTGCATCTATATTCAAAGTTCAAATTACTAAGGTCACATGAATACTACACATCTCATTATCACCAAATTTCCAGCCTTAAAGAAAAAAACAAAAATTATAACAGATTAGTAGACAGAACGGTTTTTCATCATCATCCATAAACAGAAGCTAGACAAATCCATTATCTGCAACAAAAACAAACCAGACCACAAAATGGATAGTAGACAGAAGGCGTAGACCACAGGGTAGACCCACAATTTGGTCTACCAGAAAATTAAGCTAGATACCTAATTCAAAAGAAAACCGAATATAGCCTTAATTACGCCGAAAGAACATTTCAAACTCACACAGAAGCAAGTAAACAAATAAAAACAACTAATTGTTCGAGAAATTTCAAAATATTTGATATATTGAAAGGAAAACGACATTTAAAAAACACATAATAATAGACCTAAAACGTAGACGTCGGAGTAGACGTACACGGTAGACCTCCACTTAGGTCTACTCCACGTGGAGGGTTAGTTTTGCAATTGATCGAGAAAAATGTTTTTTTGGAGGTCTACCTTGTCGGTCTACTACACGTGGAGGGTTAGTTTTGCAATTGACCAAACATTGACTTTTTCACAAGGTCTACCGTGTAAGTCTACCAGAAAACGTAGACCTCTCAATCGGTCTACCAAAAAAAGTAGACCTCTGAATTAGTCTACCCTTAGGTCTACCTACCGAAAACAGTTTGTTTTGCTGTTGACTCAAGTTTGACTTTTTTGGGTAGACTTCCGTGGTAGACCTCAGTTTTTTGCGTTGACCAGTAGACCTCCTTGCGGTCTACCGGATGGTAGACCTACACGGTAGACCTCAATGACGCAAAATCTCTCCTTTTTGAGGAAAGTCAAACTTGAGTCAACGGCAAAACCAACTTTTTTTTTTAGGTAGACCTAAGAGGTAGACCTCCGAAAAAATTTCCTCTTTCAATTGCAAAACTAACCCTCCACGTGGAGTAGACCGACAAGGTAGACCTCAAAAAAAATATTTTTCTCAATCAATTGCAAAACTAACCCTCCACGTGGAGTAGACCTAAGTGTAGGTCTACCACTCATTTTTTTTGTTTGCAAAGGAAATGGCACAGTCAACTCTGCGTTGACCAGTAGACCTAAACTGAGGTCTACTATGTAATGGTAGACCTACACTTCAGTCTACCTTAACGGACCAAAACTGAAATTCTTAGAATTTTGAAAGAAAAGTTACCTGGCCGTTGGAAAAAGGCTCTTCAAGGGCTGATAACTTCAATTTAGGCTTCAATTACGAGTTCCGGTCATCACCATAAGCTAAACAATTGGAAATACCAAGACCCAAGATTTGAGTTTTCTTTTAAGTTTTGGGATGAAAATGGAGAGAAAATGAAGATAAGAGTTTGTGAGATGAAAGAAGGAGAAATACTAGCTCCAAAGTGAGTTTTCAGAGCATTAACAGCTCCAAATTGGTAAAAATGGTGGTTGTGAACATTGATGAAATGACATTTTGGCAATTAAGTGTAGAAGATGAGGGGTGTTTGGTCTTTCAGCAGATCTGGTAGACCTAAATATCGGTCTACCAATCGAAAAAGTAATGGCATTTCGGTAATTAATTGGAAAAAACTGGACAAACTTAAAACGAAAAAAGCAGGAGGTTACTTTTGCATTTGACCACAATTTTGGGTCTAGAAGTGAAACAACCCCTATTTTTAAGAGCTGGAAAACGGAAGTTTTTTGAACCATCGGTTTGTTTTAAGTTATTATTCTTGTATCCAAACAATTTTCTCCATTTATCCTTCCAATTAGTTTTTTTCTCTTATTCTTGTATCCAAACATTACAATATACTAAATTGACCCTCATTAAACCTGTTGCCAAACACTTTCTCTTCATAATTAGATTGGTTTTTTGGTCAGAAAATTTTCATGTACTTCTCAATTAATAATATAAAGATCGATCATAATTTTTTTGGATGTATGTGCTTGTGGAACGTTGTGTTGCATGCTGGTGATGATAGAGAATGAAGAGGACGTAAAAGAGAGATAATGTGGGAGTTTTGAAACCACTTCAATCAGAGATACTTGAGACCCAAGACAAATTTGGGTCAAAATGATATTGATATGAAATAATAATATAGCCCACATCGGTAAGTATGAAAGATGAAAGCTAATATACAAAGGTGTAAACCATTAAGTTTGGTTGTCAGTTGGTGGGAGTCAAGGGTCCTCCTGAGCAGAAATCGTAGTGATGGTTCTTATGATATCTAAAGATTGAGGAACCACTCTATCGGTTTGCCAGCCTACTCTTACCAATTGACCATTTTTAAAAATTCTTCGATAGGCTCAGTTTATCTTTATGATGGAGAATGTATAGGTAAATTTTTGATTGGTTTGGAGCCAGGTTAGAATGGAGCTTTCTAATACTGAAATATGTGGGTACTTGCAAGCGCATCTTGTGAACAGTAGAAGTTTGGGTTTCCTTGAATACAAATTTCTTTAGATAAGGGCACGAAGGAATGAACCATATAGCTTCTCATCGTTACTTAAGTTTCTATATCAAGATTGTCCATCAAATAGCGAATCAACTTTATATTTGACCTAACTTGAGGCACAAGTACATTACTTTTGTCAATGATGGCAATGCAGCGTAGCATGTGTTACATGTTTTTCTTGTTAATACAGATTTTAGATCAAGATAGGTTGCAAAAAGAGAAAGACGAGGACGTAAAAGAGAAATAACGTGAGAGTTTGGAAATCACTTCAATCGGAGATACTTGAGGCCAAAGACAAATTTGGGTCAAGAATATGAAATAGTAATGTAATTAACCCACTTGGATGGAATTAATGACAACGCTCTTAACAGGTCATAAACGACTAAATATGTATGACTAGTAATAATACCATTCCTAGCTAAGACGGAAAGACCTAGTCTAATGATTGACTTCTTAGCACGAATCATATAATATCAGCTTGTAGAGTGGCTCTTGAGATACACTATGTGATTTTTCTCTTGTCTTCTTAAGCCCACCAGGTTAATGTCCAACAATATTTTTTATCGTCCAAGAGATTTACTCCACGGTATATGGACCAATAATTTCTGATTTGAACTGTTTTATTACGTGCCCGAACAAACTGTACTTATATCAAAATGATAGAAAGATGTCGGTACCACTACAACTAAACATTAGAAATGTTAACAATTCTTTTTGACAAATAAGGTTGTTGGAAAACTTCTAACGAATATCTCACAACATTCCGTAAATTAGTTTTTCTGAAAACGCCACACAAATTGTGAAACAAATGTGAGCAGTCGTAAGGAATCCTGTCGCAACATTTGTAGGTAAATTGTGAAAAAAATTCCATCAAAATTACGATCATCAGAAATCCCATGATATAATTATTGTCTGAATTTTTCAACAACTTTTTGCAAATATGTAGCCTTTGTTTTCAACGAGTTTGCAACAAAACACCGACTTGTTCCAAATACATTTGAGACATAACAAATTTTAGTGGTAGTAAGGATTATAACTTTATGTTATTTATGTATTAAATTCTATAATTGTGTTATCAAATTATAAGGAAGTTATCAAATTTGAACAATCCTCGTTCAATCCACAAACAAGAGCCATCAATGAAGACTCATTGGAACATCTAAAGTCATCGACTTGGTTAGGCTTCTTATCACTCACTGCAATGAGATCATTGACCTCCAGCAGTTTTGGATCTCCTTTGGGTATATTATTAGACATCATCCGCAAAGTAACTTCATAAAAAGATTCTTAGGAGTTTTGAAGTCTTTGTCTCGCTTGATCTACCAGAAATTAAAAGTTGGTGCTAGTCTCAAAGTCTCCAAACTTGACAACAAGCAAAATGTGTCTCTTCGATGATCGGATAGGCATTAAGCCCACAATCATCGAAGAGACTCATTTTGCTTTGCAAGTATGGAGACTCTGAGACAAGCACCCGCTTTCAAGTGCTGGGAGATCAAGCCAGCTAAAGACTTCAAACCTCGCAAGAATTTCTTTTATGAGGTTACTTTGCAGTCTAATAATATGCGCAGTGTCGGTATAATTCTCTTGTTAGAAAAGGTGTCCCCTGATCAAAGTTGGTATAGAGCTATCGTTAGAAGACAACCAAGCTAACAAAAGTCCTAGATATGAAAACATATAACCAAATCCAAGAAAACATAATTAAGTAGATGAAGACAGCTTTATTGATACAGTTTGTCACAAATGGGAAGCACAACTAAGTCCCTGTTTGTTTGTATAACAACACTTTTATGGATGTGTGCGTAGCTTCATGCAACGTATGTGTGGAAAAGGAGAGTAAATTATCATATCCAGTTATGTGATTTGACTATTACAAACATTGAAATAGTTTTGCGATTTAAGATATTCACCAAACCAACAAAAAGCCCTAGATTTGACAACAGTATTAGAATCGAGATTTACAAGATTCACCAAACCAACAAAAAGCCATAGGTTACTGAAAACACTAATAGATTTGAGATCTAATATATTAATCAAACCCAGAAAAAGCAAA